TTTACATCAGGCTTCTGTTGGACACTGGACTGGAGAAGTGAATCAGGACCCAGGGTGACCTCCACGCCCCAGGTGGACATCACATTCCAGTTTGACTCCTAGACCCCAGGTAGATAATACGCCCTAGGTTAATGACAGGCCTCAAGTGATTCTCAGGCCCAAAATGGACAACAGTCATATGGATCTTATCTAGGACCCAAGTGAAGAGTCAGGCTTCTGCCTGACACCAAGAAACAAGTGGAAGTCAGGCCCCAAGTGGACACCCAGGCCCTAGGTAAATACGTTGATCCCAAGTCAATGCCAGGCTCTATGTGGAAACTCAGACCCCAGGTGGGCATAAAGCCCCAGATGAACTCTGAACCCTACGTGGACATCAGGCATAGGTAAACTTCAGGCCACAGCTGAAAAAAGCTTGACAACCGGACACATGACCCAGGCACAGACGCGGATGGAGGCTCACCAAAGACAGCTGACAGGCAAGAGATCCCTTTTGGGCACACGGGACACTTTCCTCCAAACACACACACACACACCAGCCGACAGAGAGAGGGTAACACACACACACACACACACACCAGATGACAGAGAGAGGGGGTCGCATGGGAGAGACGGCCGCGGGCGGCCTCCCGGGATCAAACCCCCAGGGGTCCCGTCTTCAGGACCTCCTTGAGCCGATTTCACTATGCCCTAGGTTAATGGCAGGCCTCAAGTGGTTCTCAGGCCTCATATGGACAACAGTCATATGGATCTTATCTAGGACCCAAGTGAAGAGTCAGGCTTCTGCCTGACACCAAGAAACAAGTGGAAGTCAGGCCCCAAGTGGACACCCAGGCCCTAGGTAAATACGTTGATCCCAAGCCAAGGCCAGGCTCTATGTGGAAACCCACGCCCCAGGTGGGCATCAAGCCCCAGATGAACTCTGAATCCTAAGTGGACATCAGGCATACGTAAACTTCAGGCCACAGCTGAAAAACGCTTGACAAGCGGACACATGACCCAGGCACGGACGCGGAGGGAGGCTCACCAAACACAGGCGACAGGACACACACACACAGCAGCCGACAGACAGAGAGGGCAGGAAACTCACAGAGCGTGAGAGACAGGCAGAGAAGCGAAAGTGGGAGACACACAAACACATCCACACACACAGAGAGTCATACAGCAGTGGCGCGGAAACACACAGCCCCAGGCAGCCGCTGAGGCTACGGGGTTCGGCTCTCGACCACAACGACCTTCGCTTGAGAGAGCAGCCCACGGGCCTGCAGGCCGACAGGTCCTCGAGATCACGGGGGCACGACTTCTGGGGAGACTCACCCGAACAGCGTCCGGGCGGGCCTGAGGCTGGGATGCGGCGCTGCTCCCCCCGGAACCCGCCTGTGCTTTCAACGTCCTGGTCAGCCCTTTACCACGACTCCTGGCATCCGGAGAACGTCCTGTCGACCCCGTGGAGAGGTCAGGCTGGAGCCTCGGAGTCCCGCCTCCCAAGCACTGCCACGGAGGGCTCCTGTTTGCCAGGCCTCAGGACGTGGTTTCTCTGACAACCGTGGGAAGCACTGGGACGCGGGCAGCCGGTCGCCACTCTCGCATGTGCTTTGGCTGGGTCACCCCGCGCTCAGCTGCCAGCAGTCAGGCTGCGTCCCCTTTAAAGGACGGTGACCGCTGGGCGCCAGGGGCTCTCCTGCTGCCGCCTTGCCAGCGGCTGCATCCAGGGTTCAGTAGGAGGCCGCGTGGGAGAGGCGGCCGCAGGTGGCCTCCTAGGATCAAACCGGCCTGGGTCCGGTCTTCAGGACCTCCTTGAGCCGATTTCCCCCGGGGGAGCGGCAGCTTCAGGGCACCTGCTGGGCTAATCTCATGACCCCCCTTCAGATCCGATTCTGGAGCCCTCCGAGTGAGAATGAATGGGATGAGCACATGGATTGATGCAGGCAGGGCCTGGCTACAGCCCAGAATGATCCCATGGGCCTAAAGGGGTGGAGTCAGCTGAAAGTTCACTGACCCGTGAGCCCTCTGCCTCCCTCCTTTCAAAGAGCGCTGACCTGCCATGATTCTCAAGGGCCTGGGGCTCCTTCAAACTGACCCCGCTTTCCAGGATGCTGTGGAAAGAGGTCCAGGGGAGAATCCGATATGGAAGCAATGCGTGGCACTGGCGTAGCCTAGATCAGATGCTGTGAACGTGTGTCATTGAGGGCCCACGGGGCGATGGCGAAGGAAACAATGGTGTCCAGGCATGTGCCCGGTGGAAGGGGGGCACAGGTGACCTTTCCATGAATGCCAGGGAAAATCCAAGTAGTCTGGGATCTAGCAGCGGGCCAAAAGTTTCAGGGGGCCAGTCCACCCAGGAGCAGAGGGGAGTTTCCTTCTCAGGAATGAGCCTGGGTGTGCAGAGGAAATGCGACAGTACCTGTCCCAGAAGACAAGGACTTGTCTTTCAAAGGAGGAGGGAGGCAGAGGGCTCAGATGCCTCAGTGAACTTTCAGTTCACAGCAGGCCTTGAGGCCTGTGGGATGATTTTGGGCTGCAGGGAGACCCTGCCTGCCTGACTAGATGTGCTCAGCCCGGGCTTTCTCACCCGGAGGCTCCAGAATCGGATCTGAAGCGGACTCCTGAGACCCCATCAGGTGCCCTGAAGCTCCCCCTCCCCCGGTGGAAATCATCTCCAACCAAAGTACCTTTGCAGAGAAACAATCAAGACAGGGATCTCCAGGAAGTGTCTCCCTGATGGACTGGGAAGTGATCCTTCTGGAAGACATCCAGCCAGACCAGGAAGTATCTAAGCCCAGGAGAAACAGGGGATACACAGCCTGAGTGAGGACGGAGCAGAGGCCAGAGCCCAGGCCGGGCACAGCACCTTGCCACTGCCACGGGCTTCAGGAGAGGGGTGCCAAACGGGTGGCTTGTCCAGTGAGGCCAGCGTTCCAGTGAGTGGGATTGTGGCCATCTCCCATTCTTGGCTTCCTCTTTCAGCCTGTGTCGTGGTGTGGCTTCTTTTCTCAGAGAAGAGCCATGAAAATATACAAGCCTCTTCTGTGTTGTGGGCCTCCTCCTCTCCTGCAGGACAATGAGCTCCCTGCGGCTTTTGTCGGCGGCTGCAGTGTGTTCGTCTTGATCAATGAAAAGAGGCCGCAGGGGATGGGGATGAGATGTCAACTGCTCCGGGGGCCACGCGTCTCCTCACCTGATCGAGACCTTCACATCCCAAGGTGGAACCGAGGCGAAAACGGTTGACAAGCGGATACATGACCCAGGCACAGACGCGGAGGGAGGCTCGCCAAAGACAGGCAGACAGGCAAGAAATCGGTTTTTGGCGCACAGGCCACTTTCCTCCAAACACACACACACAGACACACACACGCACCAGACGAGAGAGAGAGAGGTCAAGAAACTCACAGAGAGTGAGAGACAGAGAGAGAAGCGAAAATGGAAGACACACAAACACGTACACACACAGACAGTCATACAGCAGTGGCGCAGAAACAAACACCCCCAAGCAGCCGCTGAGGCTACGGGGTTCGACTCTCGACCACAACGACCTTCGCTTGAGAGAGCAGCCCACGGGCCTGCAGGCCGACCCGTCCTCGAGATCACGGGGGCACGACTTGTGGGGAGACTCACCCGAACAGCGTCCGGGCGGGCCTGAGGCTGGGATGCGGCGCTGCTCCCCCCGGACCCCGCCTGTGCTTTCAACGTCCTGGTCAGCCCTTTGCCACGACTCCTGGCATCCGGAGAACGTCCTGTCGACCCCGTGGAGAGGTCAGGCTGGAGCCTCGGAGCCCCGCCACCCAAGCAACTGCCACGGAGGGCTCCTGTTTGCCAGGCCTCAGGGAGCGGTTTCTCTGACAACCATGGGAACCACTGTGACGCCAGCACCTGCTTGCCACTCGCGGATGCTCATTGGCTGGGCCGCCCCGCGCTCCGCTGCGGGCAGTCAGGCTGTGTCCCCTTTAAAGGACGGTGACCGCTGGGCTCCAGGGGCTCTCCTGCTGCCGCCTTGCCAGCGACTGCATCTGGGGTTCAGTAGGGGGCCGCGTAGGAGAGGCGGCCCCGGGCGGCCCCCCAGGATCAAACCCTCAGGGGTCCCGTCTTCAGGACCTCCTTGAGCCGATTTCCACCGGGGAAGCAGCAGCTTCAGGGTGCCTGCTGGGTTCATCTCATGATCCCCCATCAGATCCGATTCTGGAGCCCTCCGGGTGAGAATGGATGGGCTGAGCACATCTGCTGAGGCAGGCATGGCCTCGTTGCTGTCCAGAATCATCACATAGGTCCCAAGGCGTGGAGTCAGCTGAAAGTTCACTGACCCGTGAGCCCTCTGCCTCCCTCCTTTTAAAGAGCAATGGTCTCCCGTGATTATAAAGGGCCTGGGGCTCCTGCAAGCTATTCCAGCTTTCCACACACGTGTAAAGAAGTCCAAGGGCGATTCCGAAGTGGCGGCCAGTGTCACCACATGTGGCACTGGCGTCCCCTAGAGCAGATGAAAACCATTGAAGAACTGGAAACCATTGCCTTAGGCATAAGGGGAGGAATGCAAATCAGGTGGCTTGTCCTGAGAGGCTTGCGTGCCTTTGAGATTCACGTTTTCATTTCCCGTTCTCAGCTTTTTCTTTAAGATTGTTTCTTGGTGTTTCTTCATTTCTCTCAGAAG